ATAAATTGAATGACTTTCTGAGAAAATAATGGATAGTTAAATAACTTTTATGTTGAAATCAAAAGTTGAGTAATTTTCTGAAAGAAGAATGTTTAGTTAAGTGATCATATAAGGTATTAACTCTTCACTTTGACTTAAAACTTTAGGTTATAACTTTGGGTAATTGGCATCTATAGTCTCTCAACAACTAGAACATAGTGGACAAGAGCATGAAAGGACGAAACATATCTTTTCAAAAGGGAAGCACCCACCAAAATAACATTGGAATCTAGTAGATACATTCTAGCATATGGGGAATAGTATAAACAACATGTTGGAGCAGTACCTCAACAATAACCCCCAAAAAGGACAAAAAGAGAGAAAGGAACATGTTAAGAAGAGGCAAAATTTCACTTGAACTATGCTACTCAAGTTTGTGCACGTCTCAACTATTCTATCAAGTATATATTACTATTCACCAGCACATATTCGAGTAACTCTTGGCAGCTAAAATTTAGATGAAAACGAATCACTTGGCTTTTCTTTTTTTGATTCTATTGAAATTTCAAATCTGATCTTCATTTTTTTTCATCCCACTTCATTGATCGTTATACCTTTCACTTGTCAAATACACAACTTCATCAAACCCAAATTTGGACTCCGTAGAAACACAGCTAACTGCAGCAACAATCAGACGTAATTCATACACATCAAGAAGAACACTAATGTATGAGTTCCTAACAAACACTAAGATATTGATAACAGAAGACCATCAGAAATCTGGATTTCAGAACTGTGCATACATGGAGATCAAAAGACAAATATAGGAAAGACGAACAGCATTAAGATACGTTCAAAGCCAAAATATTAAGCTTAGTACAGAGTTGGCACAATACAAGCATAACTTCTATTTCAACTTTATCTTGATTTTCATATCAATAAAATCATTATCCAAGAACACATAAGCAATTACACCAGTACAACTTGGATGAAATTTGAAAATTCAAATCAGCACGACCACCAAATTTGTGAAATCATTTTGTTGTGTCCAAATGATAATCAGTTCATTAAAAGGGCAATGAATAGAGATGTCTTCATAGAACGTGATTTGTGTACCTACACAACAACTTATGCATCAATGCAGGTATGTCAAATGATAGCACGGAGCTTGAAGACCAAATTAGACCTCTCACATTCCATTTGATCTTAGCCAAAAGGTCGAGAGACTATCCAAATGGGACCTCAACTGACTGCAAAAGAATCTCGACATGCCCAGTGAACATCACAGTAGAATTAGGGAAGTATCTTCAGTTCCAGTTAGTATTAGGCAGTTGAAGTAGAAACCTTGTATCCTTCCACAAAACTCCGCAACTTTTCTGTTTCACCAATGTCAGAAAGCCATGGAGTGAGGACTTCCATGGTAATGTAGTCAGGATTACATGCATTTTCAGTCATTTGGTCCATTATTTCAAGTGCCTTTTCAACCCAATTCCTCTCCCGAAGACCTTTAAAGAGGGCATTGAATGTTTTGGTATTTGGTCTTACCCCTTTGTCCTTCATATCACCCAACAAAGAAATAGCAGCTTCTAATTTGTCACTCTTGCAGAGAGTGTCAACCAAAATATTGTATATGACTGTGTTTGGTGGCACATTAATAGCTGAACTCATATTCTGGAATATTGTCATAGCTTCATCAAGATTTCCAGCTACGCAATATGCATGAATTAATGCTCCATATGTAACAACATCAGGCAAATAACCATCATCAATCATCCTCTTCATAATTCTACTGGCAGCTGTAAATTGCCCCTTCTCGCTGAAATATGATATTAAAGTGTTGTAGGTGTAACAGTCAGGTTTGATACCTGCCTCTTCCATATCTTTAAGCATCTTCTGTGCTTCCTCAATCTTATTTTTCCTACAAAGTGCCCCAATCAGAGAATTGTAGCAGATAATATCCAAGTCAACCCTAGCTTCTTTCGCCTTTGAAGCAATACAGGAGGCCTCATCTGTTCTTCGAGCCTGGCAAAGGCCCATGATCAAACTGTAGTATGCCCTGGCATCAGGGAGACACCCATCTTCTGACATTTCATTGAACAAACTCATTGCTCTGTCAATATTGTTGACACTGCAAAAAGTCGTAATGAGGATGGTGTAGGTGATTGCATTCCCCTTTAAACCCCTCTCTTGCATCTCAGCAAAAAATCTCATAGCACTGCTAACTCTCCCGAACTTGCACATTCCATGGAGCAAAGTATTCATAGTTATGACATTTGGCACAACCCTGTCCTTTTTCATCTGGTCAAAAAGCTCCAATGACCTCTCAATCTCACCTGCTTTGCAGTAACCATCTATCAAGCAATTGTAGGTAATAGTATTAGGTACACATACATTCTCCAATCTCATCTTCTCCATCAACTTTAACCCTTCTTCTTGTTTCCCTACCTTGCAAAGTCCATCAATCAATGTATTGTAGAGAACAAGGTCTGGTTTAACAAGAACCCCATCAGTTCCACTCCCTCCCATCTTCTCAAACACCTGAAGTGCCTCATCGACCCTGTAACATTTGCACAAATAATTGATGAAAATCCCAAATGTCACAACATCCGGGTTAACTTCCTTTTCCTTCATCTCATTCATAAGCAAATTCATCTTTTGAAAATCATGCTCCCGGCCTAACCCGCACAAAAGGGCATTGAATGAAGAAGCTTTCACCTGACCACCCAACTTCATCATATCATGCAAAAGGTCCCAGGCCTTATCACACTTCCCACTTCGACAAAACTTGGTAATCAATTTAGTAAACCACACATCATCCAAGAACACACCATGCTCGAAGAATCTCACAAGAAGTCCATAGATTTCCTCCACACTCATCCTTCTCCCCACCCAATTACTCTTCCACATAGCACTCAGAACAATATCCACCGTACTATTGTTCGGAGGAAAATCACTATCCCTTTTGAGCATTTCGTCGAGCACCTTGAACCCATCATCAATATTCCTTCCACGAAACAAACAGTCCAACAACAAATTAACCACATTTGTATTTCTTGAATCCGAGTCCAGCTCATGGTATACAGATATCGATTCCTCCAGCATTTTGGCTCGCCCAAAGCATCGCATAAGAAGAGTCCCAGCATTTATCGATAAAGGGATTTTTCGGTCTTTAGCAAAGGAAAACAGTTGAAATAGCTTCCGGGGTACGTCAGATTTTTCTTCACGCATTGCTTGTTCGAGAATAGCTTGAAATGTGAAGGAAAGAGAAGAGGGGTTTGATGATGAACTCGAACTATGAGTCTTGAAGAATTCAAAAAATTGTAAAGCTTTTTCAGTGGACCCCAATTGGCGAGTAATTTTGAGAAGGGAAGTTGGGGAAGGAGGAGTATGAAGATATTCAACCAGCTCGGAGTTGGAAATCCAGTCATTGTGATCGGTAGTTTTCAGAAGGGAGACTATTTCGGGAACGGCAAAGGAGATTGGCGGCTGTGGCAGAGGTTTCTGTGTATCGTCGATCTCGCCGGAGAAGCATCTCAAGCCGGAAATACTGCCGGTTTTCGGCAGTGCGGGGAGATGGAGGAGGAATTTTCTTGCAGCTGCGAGTTTCATAGTTATCGGATTTTCGGAAGTAGTAGTACCGACGGATAGTTTTAGGTCATAACATTTTGCGCGGGTCTATTCTTTTATTTTAATGATGACAATACACGAATTTTTATCAGCATTTTATACTTTAATTATTTTGTAGGAAAAAAAATATAAGACTCAACTAGATTGAACTTAGTACTGAAATTTGTTTATCTATCTTACCGTTATTCTTTTGTCTATTATAAAAAAATATACACATTAAAAGGGAGGGAGCACATTTTAAAAAAGTCTTCCTAAAAAAATCTGGACAATTGATTTACTTATATAAATTTCAATAAGTTTCACTTCATGAGCTGATTTTTTTATTCACTCATATTAGGCCATTAAACTAATGCCTTAAAAAAGAATAAAAACTAAATCTCTCTACATGAACTTACGATTGAGTTAGGTCATGAACTTACGATTGAGTTAGGTCATGAACTTACGATTGAATTAGGTCAAGATTTCAAAATTCATTTCTTTACATGTAAGTTTACTTTTCATATTCTCTTTTCGTTAAGAGGAAATACATTGAGTTTTCTTTTGTTCACCCATATTAGGCCATCAAATTAACACATTAAAAAAATGATGAACACTTAATCTCTTTACATGAACTTACAATTAAGTTAGATCAAGATCCCAAAATTCATTTCTTTACATAAGTTTATTTTTCATATTCTCTTTTCGTTAAGAGAAAATATATAATTATTCCACAAAACTTATACCTTTTTTTAAATAGATACCTTAAATTTGCGGGGTTCGATTTAAAAAAAAGTATAAGTTTAATGGGGGTAATTATGTATTTCTTCTTTTGTTAATAATAATTAATTATTATTGATTTGACACACTTTAAGAAATTATACCTAATATGACAACATTACTGTAGTATCTTTAAATTTATTAATTTTGGGGCTCGTTCTTTCTGAGGGATTAAAAGTAATAGTGATGCGATAAATTTTTTTATGTTGTTTGATTGTCATGTTTGAAGTAACTTATCCGATTATTTATATCACAGTGATGAGATAAGTTATTCCATATACTTGATGAGATAATTTATCTCAGAATAACTAACTCTATGATAAATTATGCTAAGAATACTTGTTCCAATCAAACTATCAGTATTTTAAATAATGTATTAAATATTAAATAATAAATAATATTTAATATCAAGAATAAAATAGATAAAGGAGAGTAAATTTTCTTTTGATTTTTTCAAATTAGATAAATTTTATTGAATAACTATTTTTAATATAATGAACAAGTAGAATTGAACAATAAAATATGTTCTTGATCAATTATAAATGAAATAGGAAGAAAAAAAACATATACTATCAAGGAAAGTTATAGTTCGTAAGATAAATAATTTTTCCAAGCTGCGAGAGTAATGTGGATATACCTTGACGAACTGAGTAAACTATAGGGAAGTCAAAATGCGGGCACTTCACTCGTCATTGATAAAACCCCTCATTCGTCTCCATTGCCCATTTTCGACTCCCATTATTTCACTATCTCCACTTCGAAAACAATTTCCCTATTTGCACTCCTCCGCTACTACTTCACTCCAAAAACTAACCGCCATGGCCGACAACAAGACGGCAGCCGTCGACGGCAACTTTACCTCTGACCACGTGTCCGACGCTTGGTACTCCGTTCCCGACCTCCGATTACGCGATCACCGATTCACCGTTCCTCTCGATTACTCTATTGATCGCTGTTCCTCTACTAAAATCACCGTCTTCGCTCGTGAAGTAGTTGCTGGTATTACTCTAATTTCGTCCCCGTTGTTCATCATTGTGGATTTTGCATTTGTTAACTCTATATAACTTATCTAAGTGGACTTCGCCATGTATACTCGGTTTGAAGTATAAGGATTGCTTGTAAATATATTCTAATTTTGAATAGATACTGATTATCTTCATATAGTGGTTGTAGTTGTTTGATTGATGGATTCACATTTGTTCGGTTTAATGCACATTATCGTGCTTATGTGTTCATTCTATTTGATTCGTATGTTTGGCAGTGTTATAAAATAGCTCTAAATTTCAGCTTAACTGATATGTAAAGTAGTAAGAGAAGTTTACCAGATAAGTTTAAGCTAGTAGATTCAAAACTAAACACTTGTTCAACATATGTTCTGTTAACTTTTGCTCTTTAGCACGCTTATGTATTGATCTGTGTGATTTCTTTTTTAGGCAGTGTTTGGTGTTGATGTAGTTTGTGCGGTATGGTAGAATTTTGTTTTCTGAGGAAATAGGTCGTATCTTAGGATGGCTCGACATATAATTGGGGTTATAGTTATAGTTTAAAGACAAAAGTTTTGATTCACTTTGGTAGTATTATTGGACTAGCTAGTTTGTACAACTTACTGTGATGGAAATGACAAATGAAGAGCTCTGAAGTCATTGATTTTTCCATGAAGCTAGATTTAACTAGTACTCCTATTTAACAAGTTTACATGTCCATCTTTGCTTTTCCTGTCTGTCCTAAAGTGGTGGTTGCTAAAGTTAGATACATGGTTGTAGGGAAAAAGTAAGTGAAGCTCTGGCCACACAGATGTCTTAGTATGTACTGCTCCTTGTTTCACTTTGCGTGGCAGTTACTATTTGTGAGTCATAGAAGTTTTTCATCTACCACAAAATTTTAAAATACTTTTAAACAATATTTTGAATTGTTAACTATTGACTTATAATACTTTATGTAGTTTCCTAAAATTTAAATTTAATTTCAAAAGAACTTGAAGATTCTATGTAGTAATTCACACCGAAAATTAGGCAGTTTGATCCTCATACTCTGGAACATGTCATGTATGCTAGAATGGGGGTAGTAATTGACTTTGTCGGTGATTAACTTACTGCTATTTTCTGTTAGGACCAGTTATTGGTTAATATGTTTTCTCTACTGATTATCAAGTAAACTGCAGTTGGTAAGGAGGAACAATCTCTGCCATATCTACTATATTTGCAAGGTGGACCAGGCTTTGAATGCCCAAGACCAACTGAAGCTGGAGGATGGATAAGCAGAGCATGCGAGGAGTACCGTGTTGTTTTAATGGATCAGGTACTCTCTCTCTCTCACAACCATAATGAAATAAGCAGTTCTGTTTCCTTCTGCTGATGCCTTGCTTGCAGAGAGGAACAGGTCTATCAACACCATTAACACCATCATCTATGTCACAAGTGAATTCTGCTGAGGATTTGGCTAACTACTTGAGACATTTCCGAGCTGATAATATAGTACATGATGCTGAGTTCATCCGAAAACGCCTTGTCCCTGATGCTGGACCTTGGACAATACTTGGACAGGTCACATAGTTTTTGCTCTTTCCCGTATTTGTTTTTTCTACCTAAACCCTTTTGTGCTATTCTCTCTACAAGTTGTTGAGAAGACTTACTGCAGGAACAATTTTTTCAATGATCTTGATTATATATTTTCTAGAAAATTATTTTAAAATCTCTTTTGAGGAAATTATAATCTCTTGTAATGTGTGGGAGTCTTAATAGTGATGCTAGTTATGCTTATTGTCGGTGGTGTGATTAGAATATTGGATTGATTATCATGCAGAGCTTCGGAGGATTTTGTGCAGTTACCTACTTGAGTTTTGCTCCTAAAGGACTCAAACAAGCTCTTATAACTGGCGGGCTCCCTCCAATTGGTGAAGGATGCACAGCTGATTCTGTTTATAAGGCAGGCTTTGAGCAGCTTGTTTGTCAGAATGAAAAATATTACAAGAGGTTTCCACAGGATATTGAAATTGTTCGTGATGTTGTAAATTATCTGGCAGAGTCAGGAGGCGGGGTAAGGGAGCTATACTGATATTCTCATATTAGTCCATCTGATGCATACTTTTCCATGTTTTGTTAATGTCTCTCTCTCTCTCTCTGCACCCTGTCCTATCTCCCTCCTTTTCTCCATGTTTGACATAGGTACCTCTGCCATCTGGTGGCATCTTAACACCTCGAGGACTACAACTTCTTGGTCTCTCAGGTCTAGGATCAAGTACTGGTTTCGAACGATTGCATTACCTGTAAGCCATCATTCCTCCGCCCCCCCCCCCCCCCCAAATAAATAAATAAATAATCATATTAGTGAACTTTTACCTTTCCATGCAATGCTTGTAGGTTTGAGAGAGTCTGGGATCCTTTAATAGTTCAAGGAGCAAAAAGGAGAATCAGTGACTACTTCTTGAATGCTGTAAGAAATACACATGCCTATTACAAAAAACACGGTGACTTTATTTTGATTAATATTGCAAAATCTAGAGACCTTGTTGAGCAATTAGTAAATATGGTTCATGAACTAAATACATGGGCATAAATATCATCCATATGTTTTGTACCATTGAGTTCAAATGCTTTGTGTTCATTTCCATCAGAATAATATTTTTTGATGGCCTACTTTCTTTATTTGTATACATGGTTCCTCTAATGACTATCTTTATGTTGATTCTTGAATACGATTATTCATGACTAATTAAACCAGCTTTCACATCAATGTTTCAAATGAAGAAATAAAAAATAGTGGCAGGAAAAGAAGAGAAGACATGAATGAACATCCTGATAAGGAAGAATGCGTAAATCTTTCATGTGTTGTAATCTATGATGAACCGTAACCTAAATGGCATGTTAAGCTATTACTAGATTTATTTATCTAGAGAACTTGAAATTCTGTTGCATTGTAAAAAGTTTAATTTAAGATGCTGGACAAAAATAAAGTACTTTCAGATATGAATCTTGGATACTGACATAATTAAGCCTTTAGCGTGATGATGACTTAGAGGTCACGCCGTAGCTCACTTGGATTATCGTTATTACAGTTTTCACAAGGCTGATGCACTATAGAAGTGCTGTGTCTTCGAGTTAAAACAAGTAAACAAAGGTTTCATATTTGTTACAGTAGATTGAGATTCTTTTCCTTTTAGGAGATGCTTAGGATCTGAAACTTTGGCCCATTTTGTGCTTATGTGCTAGCATTTTCTTGGTGATTCTAGATGCATTTAGAAGTACAGTAGCTGGATGATGGATATCTGCTAAAATTGAGTTCTATGTGGTATTGCAGTATGAGAGATGGATCGGATTTGATGCAAACCCTTTATATGCTCTTTTGCATGAAAGCATATATTGCCAGGTAAACTTTTTAATAGGAGTATTGCTACAACAGTGGGGGTACTTGGCCAATAGGAATTTCTGTGTCTACTTTTATAGTTTTTGGAGACCTCAATTCTGCAGGCATGCATGAACTGTCTAATTCATTTGCTTTTTCTGATATGAAGGGTGCCTCATCCCTGTGGTCTGCTCACAGAATTAGGGCTCTAAATGACAACAAATTTGATGCAATTGAGGCAGCAAAAGTTGGCTGCCCTGTACTTTTTACTGGAGAGGTGAGACACAATGTGGTCGTTTTTGGTTAAGAACTGCCACAATATGAAGCAAGCGTCAAACAGAAAAAATTTTACTTCCACCTAAATTTCTCTGATACGTCTGCCACATTAAAGGGTTTTGTCCTCGAGAGGGCCCAAACTACAGCTTATATTTAACTAACCAAACCCACCTCTCCCCATAATTGTTAACGTAATATGTATGTCTTGTGCGAAAAAAAATCACTATATATTCATAATTATTGGAAGTTATTATAGATATATTACAAGAGCTGTAAATTAACTTCATTTTGTTCTCCTATAAAAATCTTTATTACATTTAAGTGTATTGTGTCCTGCTGGGAGTTGAATTCCAGCTTTTAGAAAAAAGTCTTCAGAAAAGTGTGACTGCTTTGTTCTTTTACAATGTCAGCCACACTTCATATAGTTGAGCGGAGGCGTGGTGCAGACCATAGAGAATGTGATATCATATTAATGCCCGTTCATGTATGAGCAACAATCATGTATATGCTCATCCTTACACATCCTACCTATTTCCCTTGGTTTAAGTTCTGACATAATTTTGTTAGTTTCTTCAAATGTATGTAGCTTCTGTTACCCTGTTCTTGATTTTGCTTCCACTGCAAATTGATTCTTTTTATAGTACAAATTTCTTCATCTTCAAAGAAATGCAAAGGAACATATGGTTAGAATTCAAATTGGTTGGCTGATAAAGCAACCCCTCCTGAAGTCATGTGGATATTTGGTTGGTGAGTGGAGGAAAGGATCAATTAGACAATATATTGATTTGGAACTACATATGATCAATCAAATTATCAGGGAATACATGCATAATGTAGTAGGTTTGAGGAGCTTCTCTCTCCTACATAAGGTGCTTATTGATCAGAGTTGTCACGTTTGTTTTTGTTATACAAAATTTAATATAACCTACACTGTATTATTATGGACATTTTGATAAATCACATATTTAGCTCCCCGATCATAGCATCTTGTATAGGAGCTAGCATAACTATTATTGTAATTACTGCATCTTCTTGATGCCAATCAACGGAAGTAAATGGATTTGTTTTACATTTATTCTCAACAGACATCTATCTGAAGTTAAACTTTGCAGAATATATTTATTTCTTTCAGCTGGAATTAAGAAGACCCCTTTGTGTTATCTTTTTGGGTGAAAAACAGAAAATTTGGACTTGTCTTGAATTCCAAGCAAGTGTTGATCACTTGTTAATTGATCATGCAGATGATATTCCCATGGATATTTGATGAGGTCCATGCGTTGAGGCCGTTCAAAGATGCTGCCCAGCTACTAGCAGAGAAGAAGGATTGGCCATCATTATATGACATTGCTGCATTAAAGGATAATAAAGTATGTCGTATTTCTGTTGAAGTTGGCAAGCTTAGATACCTGAGATTAATGTTATCCACCATACTGGTGTCAACCAATATGATAAGGATTTGAATCTACCTTGATGTCTGACTACTTTTTATAATACATAAATTGCCTCAACTTTAAGCAAAACTGAAGTAGTGGAGTTGCACAATAACCTGATTAAATGATTTAGACTTCATGTAGCCACCTGGGTTCTTTTTGTTTTGATAGGTACCAGTTGCAGCAGCTGTTTACTATGAAGACATGTATGTTAACTTAAAGTTATCTATGGAGACCGCTTCTCGGATAGCAGGAATCAGGCCTTGGATTACTAATGAGTACATGCACTCTGGTTTGAGAGATGCCGGAAGTCGAGTTTTGGATCATTTGCTTGCTATGTTAAATGGAAAGAAGCCCTTGTATTAACTCTATTTTCCACCATCATACACACTTTCTCATGAACGTCAAAGGCTTAGACAATGCTCGTGCATTTATTGGTAAATTCTCTTTTTTATTTCCTTCTCACCTTTCAATAAATATTTTATTCTGTGCATGGGTACTGTGTGTTAGATATCTTCAAGTTCAAGCCTCAATCCCACACACCCACCTGCTCAAAAAATATTTGAAAGTAGTTATAATGAACATATCCCTGCTGAATGTCCTTTTAGAAGTTTATAGCTTTTAGATGTTCACGAGAGTCTAGAATATCTTACTCAAGGAGTGCCCCATTCTAATACTTGTACTTCTCTCTATATCTATGCATTATGTAAGAAAGTTGTTCAGCCTTCTTTGTTCTTATCCTTCCCTTCACCTCCCAATCTACCAACCTCGATATACACACCATATGGAAAAAGACAAGTATATGTTTATCTGCACGTTTTAAGAAGTGGAGTCCTCTTAGGGAAGGACAAGAAGTCACTTCTAATATATCAGAAGGGTTCCTATGCACCTTATGACTACTAAGAGGATAGTGTCATGGATCAGATTGTCAAATATTGAACCTTCTTTAATCATTTGAATATTGTCAGCTTGAATTCTCTCAAACATCTCATGATCTCCTTGCCAACCATACCCCTCTTTTCCGCGGCCTTATCTGTTCTTTATCTCTCCCCTACCATACCACCCATTTGGCGAAGGATTAATTCAATTGATTAATTATTTAGGCAACATATATAACCACTAAACCTGTTAAAGTGTAGTCGTCAAGTTAAACAGCTCATAACTAAAAGTTATTTTATGTGTTGAACTAGAGATTCAAAATCATTATGCAATAGTATATATTTTACAAAAGCGTTTTAAAAGATTGTGCCCAAAGACAATATTTATTGTATGTTTTATTGGAAATGAATAACTTCATATTAAAACAACCGGAGGAGATTATATGGCGTAAAATTAAAAGGATACTATTGATCACAAAACATTAAATTGCTAAGATGGAGCCAAGTAGACTTAACTACTTATGCTGCCCCTCCCTCATTTTACCAGAGGGAATCCAGTTATTAGTTCTTGGTGTCACTAAGGCTCTTTGTTTCAGATCTATCTTTTGCTCAATCTGGTTAACCATGTCTGAGCACATTTTTTGACCTTCCTCCACATGTTGCTAGATGAGATGGCACCAGGAAGGCTCTTTGAGGTTGTTGACTATAGCTTGCCGGGGCATTTATTTTCACTGGTGTAACTTGAATAGAAGCATGCACAACGATTCTAGGTTTCTTTTGCATTTGAATTTCATCCAGAGTTGGAGGATCTACGCTGTATTTATTTTCATGCGCTAGCTGCTTATTGGATTGACTCTTGCTATATATTTGACTTGGGTTACCATCGTCCCATAATATTGGTTTCCGGGATCCATTTGCTGCTGTGATTATATCAACCAACTCGTCACCTGCCTGATTCGAGACCTGGCAAGAATTGCTGCGAGAAGTATAAAACACTTCAACATTTAGATCATCCATCCTGGTTGGTAAATACTTGAACTGCGGTGGCATTTTAACCTGACTAATTCAACTTACGATAGTAACTTAGCTGATGAAAATATATCTTAATTAATTGTGATTAAGTGATAACTGTATGTTGAATCACATGTCATTCATCATTAGTTAGGAGTAAACAACCGTGGGGGTAACTCTTTACCATCCTGATTTTATGCAGCGAGAACACTGCATAAAAAAGTTAGTTAGTGTACCACATGATAGATCAAAAATATAATTTACCTGATGGGCCAATTAAGCGAGACTCTTGATGAGGTCTCAACAATTTCCAGATCTGCGATTAGGTAGAAGCAATAATTATTCAAGTTATACAAAATATCTGTTCAGATATAGTTCTCACATAAAATGGACTTGAAACAAATATGCATATTGCATGCTACTAACATAAAAGTACATGCCGTCTATTTTTATTTTATTTTACTTTAGTTTACCTGAATGAGCTAAAGGAGCTCTACTACAATCTTTTGACGCTAGAGATGGTAGTGAACTCATTGTTCCGATTACAGCAATATAATTTCCTGTAAAAGTTTTTCTCCAAAATACAGCACATAGATAAGCAGATATTTTATGAAAATGACATCATTTATTTAATAAATTGTGGCATACCATTAAATTTTCCAATGACTTGTAGAAGATTGACACCATACTTGAGCATTTTAGTGATGATGGTGGGAAACTGCTGCACACAGTCCTGTAAATTTCAGGGCGATGGAGATCTAATGAATTGTGTGGCTATAGCAGTTAATCAACACTAAAAATTGATAACAAAGTCATTTGAGAGAGAGAAATTAGTTGTTGGTAGAAACGGACACCTTAGTCGTCCCCTCGAGTCGGTTTCCATTTAAAAGAAAACTGCAGCCATGAAGAGCTGAAGATTAGGCCCTGGCGTCAAAGTAAGAATCCAGGATGAATTTAACCTGACAATTAGAATACAATAAAGTAGGTTATACCTTGTCTCTGGTGGAGCAATCATGCAGGAAGAGGTCTCCATGTTATCAACATTTGTTACAAGTAACAACTGCATGAAAATTTTAGACGATGAGATTGGAACATGGAGAAAACAGTAGCATTCTGTAATAGCTCGAACCTATGATGTAAGTATATTTAAAGCAGTAAAGTACAAAAATAAAGACCCAACTTCTTTCTTCCGAGTACTGGTAGTTGCTACTGGATGACTTGCATTATTCAATTAGAACAGTTCAAAAGAACTGGTAACAGTTCTCTAGATATAAATTATCTGGAACTCCCCAATAGTGAAGCAAAAAAATGTGAAACAATGAAAAGGTTCATTTGGACACAGGAAGCAGGTGTCTACTGAAATGTAGAATGCAAACATTTATACGAGAGAACCGCAAACGTTTCACAAAAGAAAAGATATTAATAACAGAACACTCAATTCTTCTTCAACTAGAGTATAAGCAACGTGCAACATATGTGAAATAAACATGATGTGCTTTCAATGATCCATCTCGCTTTTACACCTCTAAGGAATATAAAAAGGTACTTACTATATCTTCCTTCCCTGGAGAGAACATTCCCCTTATAATATGAAAACCAGCATGAAAGGCTCCAAATCCAGGCTACACACAAATAACCGATAAGACCTCTATATTTTCAGCTTGCAGCAACTGCAGTAGATAAAGTAACCTGCCTTGATTTGAAAAGCGGCTATTATCCTGTCCATCCTCAGCTTTGGACAGAATCTGCATTTGAAAGCTTTGGCATTATTCTAACTTGAAATGTGATTGCGGAGATGGGATGATGATGGTGATTAGTGAGTAAAATACAGTGTGAGCTCCATGTATTGACAAAAGGGCAGAAAGAATATGACATGATCATGAAGAACACTGTATAAATTATAAAGAGATTCACTCCAGAAGGATTTTTCCACCACACTCCAAGAGGATTACTCCAGCACTTTATCAAATATATGTCAGGTTTCCAACAATAAAGGCACAAAGAATGTTTTGTGACGATATCCAATTAAGGTATGGATAACCAATGGCTATCGAAACAACTTTCTGAAGTTTTGACTAAAAATTCACACATGACAAAGCCACTGCACATACATGAGTTTTAACTATCTAATATTGCTCAGGAATTGCAAAACCTGCTAGATTAGATGATTTGCTGTTTCATAAAATAGGTACAGAAAAGAAAAGAGAACATCATCTCATATAAATCGTGTGGTGTATTAAGGGAACTGTTGGTAATAGAGGTGCAGTTAGTATTTAGTAATGTCATAGTTTATACATTAGTACGGACCTTGGTAATACTCTTGAAACAAAAGGCTGAACACAGCGGGGTTCAACGTCAACATCTTCAGCACAAGAGAAGTATCTGCTAACCTGAGCAGGATCCAAAAGTAAGGTCAGAAGTCACAAGACACAGAGTCATTGCAAACCAAAAGAATCAGCAGGATTGACAGAAAGACTTCACTTACCTCCTGGGTAAGTTTAAGCAGATCATTAGCATCTTCATTCCGAAACCATCCAACCTTGCACGCACTCTGATCAGGACATAGATACAGCTAACCCGTTCAACCCAAAACTAAGTGCCAGACTATAAGAAACTTTGCCACATAAATTTATAGAAATGAACAAGATGAAGAGGTTTCTTCAGCATATTGGAAACAATTTAAATAACTATATATCTGTTCCTTCGGTTTACAAAATAACTCAGTATTTGGAGAGAAGCATATTTGCAGTTTTATCTGATTTATCATGAGCAAGGAATGTTGTAAAGGGGATCTGTAGGCTTTTAGAAGTCAGGAACAATGCTATCTCTAACCTCTGACTAAGCAATGTGCCTTAGTTCTAGTATAAAACTAGAAAAACTGCTATCTCTAACCTCTGAATAAGCAATGTGCCTTAGTTCTAGTATAAAACTAGAAAAACTACCGTCCTATCTCTCCCTTACCCAAGTCTAAAACTACCATCCTCTCAAAACTGCAGTATTAGGAATTAGGATTCTTAATAGTTTTACTAACACTATTTGCTACTTAGCTTGATTATCTATTGGTGAAGAAATAGAGATCTTCCGGGGCAGAAAAGATCGTGAAGATGTGAGTATGATAGTGAAATTTATGGTGGTGGATCCAGCAGAAGAAAAAGTTCAGGCAGCATTTCTGTGAGCAACTCATCTTGAAGGTGTAGAAAAAGCACAGTACTTGCACATACAACACTCGTAGATGAATGACCACATCAGTATAACAACGGAAAGTTAGCGTATACTATTCAAGAAGCAATACAGTAAAGTTCTGCACTAAAAGAGAATAAATGGTATCAAGAGTATAAACTACATACAAATTCTGGGATGTGCCAGTAGAATTTTGGTATACAAGCTGCAATGAGAAACTTAGTATCTAGGACTTGAGGTTTCCATATTGGACACTATACAACAAAATTAATACGGAAACATGATAGATTCTGTATACCTTGACGTACATCAGTAGCACCATAGAAGCCTCTTGAATGGAAAAGTCACTCCTATACTTGTACACCTTGGAGCACATCAAGACAGATCATAAATTTCCAGAACATGCTCCCATTAGATTCAAACAAATCTGTCAAAACATATTCCAGAGCAGATGTACCGAAACTTACACTGTGAACCGATCACAGCTTTTAATTTTATTTTCAGCTTTTATCAACTTAGATTAGACTATGAATGATAAGTTACAAACATTATCAAACTACAGTTTAAGACACAAATGTAGTTTTGAGAGGAAGCATCCTGAAAATGCAAAAATTATATGCTGTTTAAATGTGCATTGTAAATTTAAGAAACTAATTAAATTTTTTGCATCTTGGTCTATCTTACCTGTTTCAACAGTGACGGTAGCTCATGTGATCTTAAGGGGACCTCGTTGTTAGCAACTGCATGATCAATGCCTCTGCTTTTGAATTACAAATAGAAGTTTACCTCAAGTAAGAAAATTAGGACTAAAAATGAACATCATGAGTTATTTCGAGATCAAGTTTAACTCGATTTGTCAAAGCAAAAAATATAGTGGACTAGAATAGATCTTTGCATGTTCTGTAACGAGTAATCGATTGCAAGTTCACAATATAATGTATATGTTAGTCTGTCTGTAAAGAGGTTTATGGATGCACATAAACTCCATTCCGCAAAAATTTTTTTACTGTTTAAGCAATAAATTCCAGTCATATCTTTACACAATGCTAAGCTGTTGGAGGATATTAACTAAACTAAACTTGCCTCAAATTACTCCCTTTTCACTGTTTTGCGCATAAATAATTCCACTTATGCTTTTCATTTTGATGCATTCACATAGACAAATCCAATTAAACCTCGAAAATTCAATTACAAAGAAAGTCGCACAAGCAGTACTGAGTTTTCAGCTTATTCATTTAGGTCAATCCACAAACATATTAGCTTCAATGGCATAAATTGCTCGAAACCTGATCTGCAGAACGAATTTATCAACTTTCAATACGAAATACCTATTTATGTTAGTAAAACAATCCAAAGTTTAACAGCAACTCATACATAGTTCAAAAAATTATGTATGCCTGAGCTTAGAGGTACACATTCTGTGTTTGAATTCTAGATTACTAAGTGAGTTAGTAAAGCAGAGACAGAGAAGAGGACGGACTTGGCTAGAGAGAGGCAGAGGTCGCTGAAAACTGAGAGATTATTCAGGTGACCAGTCTGCATATACATAGACATCAAATCAGCCACCGTCTCCACCAGCATCGACGCCGTGCCGGCAGTGGGCACATTCACGGAGCTGCTCGTTGGTTTCTCCATTTCAGAGAGGGTGCAATCTGCTTCTTCTCGTTCCCGAATTTGCTCAACAGCGGTAGCAAATCAACAGATTATGGTGCTTTGGTTCACGTTGTTGGCGCTCCATTTTTGGATTTGGTTCGTTATCGTTTTGCATTCTGTTACGTGTAGCAATAAGTTAAAAACCGTTGTACAACAAATCATGAATTCCAAACTTGGGATGTCTTCTTCTCCAAGCCAAAAGTATGCATAACTGTGTGTCCTTTTTATTAAGAAATAATGGTTTTAGTTATTTATAATACTAATTCAATAAGCCACTGATTTGTTAGTACCGCCTTTTTGGGTAGGGCGGGAAATGGAATATTCAAATTTATTAGAACTAAATACTCCATCTATTGTGAAGTAATGCATATTTATTTAAAAAAAATATTTAATTATATAATTTAAATTTTAAATTAGATTTTTTATTATTATTTTTGTGGAATCATATATATAAATTTGCAAGTAAGTGAAATTTATCTCTTAAAAAAAATATCAAATCTCATCAAAAGAAATGACAAATATAAAAAAAATTTAAATATTTATTGAATTTAGAAAAATAAAAAGACCCGAAAATTTCAAGTCAACGTAGCAGAAGAGTATTTTGCATTATTGCTATTTTAGTGCTAATATTATTCGTGATAGAACAATCTATCTTCAATTTAAGGGTCCGTTTGGCCATAAATTTTTCAAATAATATTTGGGAAAAATTTGGCAAATAATGTTTGTCCATACAATTTGTCATTATTTGGAAAATATTCCAAATTTCTAAATATTAGTTTTTTCTAGTATTTGGGCCAAATATCATTATTTGGGATATTTTAAAAATTAAAATTTTACCCCAATCTTTTATCTTTTATAAAAACACCCTCTCTAGTATTTGCTTGCGTTGTATTACATCATTTTTTACGTGAACACCAAAATAGTGATGAAATATTTAGTGAATATTAAATAATGATATGATTGTTGATGAAAATTATTAAAAATTGGCTTTAGGTAACAAAGTCATATACTTTATCTACTTCACGATGTATGGAATAATTCTTGTTGCACTCACGCCAAATTATCACATTGCTTCAGTGTCATGGACATTATTTGTTATTGTTGTAACCAACATTCAATTGACTTGCAATACAAACTTTTAGTTAGTTTTGATAGTTTTTAAAACTTGTGTGTATAAATCATATTTTTCTAAAAAGGTGAAATATATTTTCCAAATTTTATGGCCAAACACATGGTAAAATTTCACTCAAATTTTCACTCAAATAATATTTGTCAAGAATATTTGGAAATCTATGCCCAAACGCTTGCTAATTGAGTGGGAATTATTAGTCCTTAAAGGCTAAAGCTAAGTAAATCTGACACTTTATTTACAATTACTAAAAAAAGCCAAATAGAAAATAACAAGTGCAATTTAAAGACCTTCAACTGCAAGTGCATGCATCCCCACGCTTTTCATTTCATTTATCTCCTCATCCAAATTCCAGGAAACACCATAGGACGCCTGCCCACACTACACAATATTTTTTATACGATATCGGTAGTTTTTTTTTCACGTGACATGTAGGCTCTTTGAAAGTTCGATTAATTTAAATTTATATCGAGAAGTTCTACTTTAACGATAAAATATTCTCTATCAAAGATGATTTCATATTCAAAATATAAATTCAAACTAAATTGAAAACGTATTTATCATTCTATTACAATCTTTGCTCAATTTCCAATAAACATGATTATAAAAACAAGTTTTGTCGTTAGCTAGCTTAAGGATTAAAAATGCATACTTGATTTAATTAAAGGTCGAATGTGCTATAACAAATAATATAAGGAGTAAAATAGAAATAGAAATAATTCAAAGTCTACAATGCTATTTTCCCAAAAATTCTTTGCGAATTGTGATGCTATTATTTTTTAAAAATGAATCAAGGTGTTAAATGGTGATGAAATATACATTACTCTCTCCGTCCGAAAATTTTTATCACGTCACGCTTATCAAAAGTCAATTTGATTAATTTTCAAAGGTAAATTAGATCACATTAATTTGATATATTAAACAAAAAAATTAGATATTTTAAAACTATATAAAAAATACTATAAATTACAATTTTTTGCATATTAATATGATGAAAAAATGCATCTTAAAATGTTAGTCAAAATTTTTATAGTTTTAACTTTAAAAATAGAAATCATGACAAATAATATCGGACGGAGAAACAGACAATAACGAAAGGAGGGAGTAATAATATGGAGCAAATAGAATAGGTGAACAAAGAGAGAATGAAAGAGAGAGACCAAAAGAGAGACAGTAACTCATTTCAGTATATCCCTTAGATTGTTTACCTGAAAATCAAATGTCGCTAAAATAAATACGCATAGTAAACTAATTTCGACCGCTAAAAACAGTAAAAGAGGTAAGTTGTGTATCTAAAACTGTATAAGTTTATTTTTAAGTTAGCCCGCAAGAAATGGTGTGGTGGGTCTCATATGTGGGAGATTTGAGATCAAATTCAGCCTCTAATTACTATTCAATCTTGATTTTATAATATAGAACTTATCTATAGTGGTTCTTTCAACTGTATTGGCTGAATAATAAAACGTAACTAAGACGTTTTACGAAGAATAATGAAGTTGGGGATTAAATAAAAAGAAATTGTATTTGAGAAGTATGAAAGCAGGGAACCGACTATTTGGAGAATTCGTATTAATTAAACAAAAGAAAGCATAATGGGACGATCTTTTTGAGACCAACGAAGAAGTCGGATCTTAAGCCTATTAAAAGTAGTCGACAGATGTTGAGCAATACTTAGTGAAATCTCAAGTGAGATAGTGTTAAGAGTCCACATTCCATAGAATCCATCCAATGCCATCTGCATTAATTAATTTCAGAAAATTTCTGTTCATATAAATATCTACTATAATCTTATTTTTAGATCACAAATTTAAAACATAATTTTTTTAAAAAAAAATAAATCATATTAAATAGAATTGTAACTACGAGAGGAGCAACTATTACAAAATCAATTCCCAGTGCATGCCAAGCATCATATTGACAACGACCTTCAAGTTTCAAGTTAATTAAGAGGGTACTTTAATTTCCCCCTTCCAACCAACTAAAGAGTAGAGCGTAACTAATGTTGAAGAGATAGGTCTGCATTGATGTGGTCAAAAGTGACATTGGACACGGCCTCAAGATACACCGACCCATCACGTGTACTACTCGTGTCGGCATTACAATTTTTTCCTGTAGAGAAAATATCTAGCTGCTCATATCATAACTTTTTTACGTGTATTAATCACGCAACCACATCCTATAAATAGACAACACTCGAGACCTAATATATATCATTTACTCAAAACACTAAATACATTTTCAATAATAAAAGAAATTCAAGCTATACAATGGCAGATTTCATGGAGAAAGCGATGGATTTCGTGTCTGATAAGGTGGAGAAACCGGAGGCTGACATCACGGATTTTGATCTGAAAAAAGTTAGCATGGACAGCATTTCCTATCATGCTAAAGTTGCCGTGAAAAACCCTTACTCTGTTCCTGTACCCATCATGCAGATCTCGTACACTCTCAAATGCTCCGGCAGGTACTTTTTTTTCATGCGTGTTAGTATGTTTCCTCGATTTTGGGTTATATACTGATGATTTTTTATTTTTTTTTGTGAAATAATTAATGCAGGGTTATAGTATCAGGAACAATTCCAGATCCAGGGAATATAAAGGCAAATGACACAACTATTTTAGATGTGCCAGTGAAGGTACCTCACAGTATGCTAGTGAGTTTGGGTAAGGATATTGGTAAAGATTGGGACATTGACTATAAACTGGAATTAGGTCTCGCTATTGATCTTCCAGTCATCGGAGATTTCACAATTCCACTCTCACATAGCGGCGAGATCAAGCTTCCATCACTCTCAGACTTATGGAACGGTGACAAACAAGAAGACACTGAAAAAGAGATCTGAAACTAGCGCGCTAATAATAATAATAATAATTACTAACTAATACTGTACTTGTAGTTTCATTATGTGTTTTTATTTTTTGTATTTTGTTTCAAAATCCAAAGTAATATTGGATTTTTGTTTGATTTTCCAAAACCCTGTTTTGGGGTTTCATTAAAAATTACAAGTAAGTTCCTTATTTTGTAAACTATAAACTCCAAACCAAATAATTGGATACCATATTCGAACGTATCACTTTATCTGCACCCCACTCTCCCTATTAATACAAAATCAATTCACTTTTATTTTTCTAAAGTTATATTTTTCAAAAGTTCAAAATTAAATTAGATTATATTAATTAGTTTTTTAAATAAAAATTTCTGATATTCAAAAAAATATTAAGGAAAGTATTATACATTGCAATCTTTTTTACATATCAATATGATGAAAAAATATATTTAAAAATATTAATCAAAACTTTTATAGTTTAATTCTAAAAATGAAAAATGAAAAATATGACAATTAATAGTGAATGGGGAGAGTATCACTACTCTTTATTTTAATTTATATATATTGGTAGTGTTTAACTGAATATTAAACGTAACGTTATTTTGTTGAGCATAAAATTTAGGAATATAAATCTTAGGTGATTATAAATCATTTTATCAAAAAAAAAAACGTAAAATTGTATCATGAATTAAATTATTCTTTTAAAGTATAACTATAGGACAAACAAAAAATTGTATCATCACAAAAGTTGAGAAGTCACTTTGAGATTGCCTCTCAAAAATGAGGCAAGGTAATGGGACTATTACGAAGAAATTCCAAAACTTTTGAAGGACAGATGTAGACCTATCTTTAATCATTCTAATTTCCAAAACTATTATAAAAGAAAATAATTTAACCATCTAGAGATCCACAAATCATGTTTCCATATCATGGTAGTAGTTGGTGCTACGAAGTATCTATAAATTATTGAGAAATACCTGGTGGAATCCCAAGTGAAACGGAAAGGCCCTTACTTATTAAATAAAAAAACATTTGACAATAGAAAATTGAGACCAATCTGCATATGAAACATCAGGATCCCCACATTTCACAAATTTTACAAGTTAATTAAGCCCTACTCTGTCCATATGGAACTTTTCTGCACTTCCACGCACCAACGAATATGCTGAAAATTGATGTTTTAGATGTGTACGAATAAAGCAATCAAAGAACGCGGGCGCAACGCGCGCTGGAGACACTGCCATTCATGTGTGCCTAACGTGTTTTCTTTAGTCATTACGCTCCTACTACCGACTCAATATATATTAACTATAGTATTTTTTATTTATGACGAGAAACGTAATTTTAAATGTAGATATATTTTAACAAGCTATGATAATTACATCTTGTTGCCGTAGTCATAAATGACACAAATTAAGGTTTGATTTTCGTCCACTTCTAAGATTTCTTGTTCTAATACTAGTATATTTCTGATTTAAAAAGTTATTTAGTTTTTTTTGAATTAGCTGATAAATGCCAAAAACTGAAAATTAAAGTACTTTTTAATTTTATAAAAATAATATCATGGAAATTAAAACGAGAAATTAATGAAAAAGTAGAAGATTGCTTTGCCATAATATAGTGTTACTTTTCGTATTATTTTATTAAGCGTAAAATTACATAAAGGTATCCGTGCTTAAATTTCTAGCTTGAGAGCATTTTTTGAAGCAAAAGTTTCGATAAATCAAGTTTTAATATAAAATTACAATCATCATTTCTAATTATATTAATTCTTTAAAAATAAAATTAAAAAAATATATACAATAATTGAAGCTCGGATAAATTAAAATATGTAACTATTAAATATTACTCGGATATATTAAATATTATTCGATTATATTAATATGTAGCTCAAAATATATTAAATAATAATACAAATATATTAATATATGTAAATCATATACATTAAAAACTATCTTAAATATATAATATGCAGCTGTAATATATTAACCCAGATACATAAGCACCTCGAGTACATTAAACAAATAAAAGAATTTAAAAATAATAAAAATAAGTGAAAGCAATAAATTGTATATTTCTATAATTTATCCCTTTATTAATACTAAATAAAGTTAGAGAACCTAAACAGGAAGCACAATTATGACACGAGGAGAGAATAGCGCGTCAATTGTGACCCTTTACGCGGAAGTATATGTAATAAATAGTAGACTCTTTTTCTATATTTGTATATCCCATAACAAGAGCAGAGATATTCGTTTAGCACAAAACAGGCATACTATTCAATTCCCTTTCGTTCCAGAAGCATGGATCTAATTGACAAGGCGAAGAATTTTGTGTCGGAGAAGATAGCCAACATGGAGAAACCGGAGGCAACCATCACCGACGTCGATCTTAAGGGGATCGGTTTCGACGGCCTTGCTTTTCACGCTAAAGTCTCCGTTAAGAACCCTTACTCTGTTCCTATTCCAATCATGGAGATCGATTACGTCCTCAAAAGCGCCACCAGGTTCCACTTCCTTTTACTCTTCAACACTTAAAACTATGAACTTTTCACTTGACAATCACAATTTTGCATACTGATTTAACATTATTTTATACTAATCTGATTACTCTACACATCGGATCGCCAATGTATAGTTAGATCTACTCTGTTCTAAATAATTGGCTGGAAACATAGCCAGAACAGAGCATACGTAATTTCTATTATGCTCTTGCAGAGTTACAGCGGAGGATCCAACTGTAGAATCGCAATTCGGTAGAATTCAATATTTATCAGCCAAAAATAAGTAAATTAAATTGTATATACTAATCTCTCGATTCACAAGTTCAAAATTACATTTCACAAGGTTGACCCTCGTATTACTACATTTTAGTCATCACTTCCTATTTTATAGGATATTTAAGAAATGATAAATAAAACTTCCATTCTACTACTTTTATCATTTATTCGTATTGATCTAATTTACGAAAAATATGCTTAATAACATATAGTATATGAATAGATATCAATCCGATAAATACAAATTAATCGATGATCTTTTGGGGTAAAATGGAATTTTTTTAGTAAACGAACTAATAATTTAGGACATACATTTTTAATAAGCTGATCAACTTATACTAGATTGATTTTTTTTTCATTTTCTTTGGATTGATTCTTTTTGAATGAGATGTACCATGAATAGAATACTCAGTATTAATGGGAATTGATGATGAACAACAGGGTAATCGCATCAGGAAGAATTCCAGACCCAGGGAGCATAAAGGCAAATGACTCAACCATGTTAGATGTGCCAGTGAAGGTTCCTCACAGTGTGCTAGTGAGTTTGGTTAGGGACATTGGAGGAGATTGGGACGTCGATTATACCCTGGAATTGGGTCTCATTATTGATATTCCGGTCATTGGCAACATCACCATTCCCCTCTCTTATAGCGGCGAGTATAAGCTTCCTACATTGTCAGATTTATGGAAGGGTGGAAAAGAAGAAGAGAAAAAAGAAGATGAAGAGGAGAAAGAAGATCCATCAAAGGTTGTTGAGATATGAAGAGTTATACCTATCTAATAATGTGGCTTTAATATGCCTAGTTTCTCTTCTGTTGTTTTAATAACATAAAGTTTGTTTACCTTATAAGTATCATTTCAAGGATACAAAATGCACAACTTTATGAAACTCACATTACTCTTATCTCACCTGATTTGATGATATGAAGATTTGATGATGTTAGGTTTATGTGATTGGATTTATATGGTGGAATTTAAATTTTGAGTCTCAGAATCTCAATTGTGTCACATAAATTGACATAAAATAATAATAAAATATATTTAATCAATTGATATAACATGTTGTTATTGTGAACTCCCTTTCATGTATTCACTTCTCCGATTTTGAATTCGATCAAATTTCTGACTCCACGGCTGTGTATAACTATATTCCGTTATATTCTTAAAAAGTAGTGTTTCCTAAAGAACGTGGGCCGAAGTCATTGACTGGCGTTTTGGTTCAGCCGGCCCTGTCCAGCTGCTAATAGCAATATTAGTGTTAGAGAAGATATGTTCCAGGTTGCATTGATCAGACATCTTGTAAGCCCTTACACGGTTGCAGTTTGAAGCGTAGCGCCAAAAGAGAATTCTAAAATTATATCCTTTGAGCAATCACCATGAGAGCAAATCTTAGAGCATCAGTGAAGCTAACTTCACATTCTTTTTCACCCCATATTCATTCAGCATGTACCATACGATCTTCATCTTCTTTTTCTACAGCACACAAAGAGAAGACTTTCTTCCAACCCGCGAACAAAGACCAAATGATTACACGGTTATGTAACGAAAACAAATTCAACGAAGCCCTTCAAATGCTTTGCGAGCAAAGGCGATTGAAAGAAGCCATTCAATTGCTAGAACGTCCTGAAACACGTCCTTCAGCTACAGTATTTTCAACCCTTTTGCGGATATGTATAGATAACCGGGCTCTTGAAGAAGGAAAGAGAGTTCATAAAATTATGAAATGTTCAGGTTTTAGACCTGGGGTTGTCATTTCTAATCGTGTTCTTGATTTTTACTGTAAATGTGATAAACCCTTTGATGCACAGAACCTGTTTGTTGAAATGCCTGAGAGGGATTTGTGTTCATGGAATATTATGGTTTCTGGGTTTGCTAAATTGGGTTTGATTGATGAAGCTAGGAAGTTGTTCGATGAAATGCCTGAGAAAGATAATTTTTCTTGGACCGCCATGATCTCGGGTTATGTGAGGCATAATAAGCCTGAATGTGCATTAGAATTGTATAGAGTGATGCTGAGAGATGAGAATTTTAAGTGTAATAAGTTCACTATTTCGAGTGCCCTTGCTGCTTCTGCTTCTATTCAGTCTTTACGTTTGGGTAAGGAGATTTATGGTCATATTGTGAGAACTGGGTTGGATTCTGATGCGGTTGTTTGGAGTGCTTTGAGTGATATGTATGGAAAATGTGGGAGCGTGGACGAAGCAAGGCATATTTTTGATAGGACTAAAGATAAGGATGTTGTTTCATGGACGGCTATGATCGATAGATACTTTGGAGATGGGAGGTGGGAAGAAGGTTATTTGTTGTTTTCATGTTTGATGTATTCGGGAATTAGGCCTAATGATTTTACCTTTGCTGGAGTTTTGAATGCATGTGCTCACCAAACAAAAGAGCATTTCGGAAAACAAGTACATGGGTACATGATGCGTATTGGCTTTGATCCTCTTTCCTTTGCAGCAAGTACCTTAGTTCATATGTATGCCAAATGTGGGAGTGTAGATAGTGCATACAAGGTATTTAAGCGGCTCCCGAAGCCTGATGTAGTTTCTTGGACCTCACTGATTAATGGTTATGCTCAAAACAGCCAACCTAGTGAAGCTCTTCAGTTATACGACTCCTTGCTTAAATCTGGCACTCAGCCTGATCATATTACATTTGTCGGGGTTCTTTCTGCTTGCACTCATGCAGGTTTAGTTGATAAAGGGCTCGAATATTTCTACTCAATAAAAGACAAGCATTGTCTAACCCATACTGCTGACCACTACGCTTGTGTGATTGATCTCCTGAGCCGATTTGGCAGATTTAAGGAGGCTGAAGAGATTATTAGTCAGATGCCAATGAAACCTGATAAGTTTTTGTGGGCTTCCTTGCTTGGAGGATGCAGAGTCCATGGAAATGTTGAACTAGCAAAGAGAGCAGCTGAAGCACTATTTGAAATTGAGCCCGAGAATGCAGCTACTTATGTCACCATTGCAAACGTATATGCCACTGCTGGTAAATGGACTGAAGTGGCAAAAATTAGACGAGTCATGGAAGAGAAAGGTGTGGTGAAGAAGCCTGGTATAAGTTGGATCAATTTGCAGAGAAAAGACTACGTCTTTTTGGTCGGTGATAAATCACATCCTAGATCAAAGGAAATATACGAGTTTTTAGGCGAGCTTTGGAGGAGAATGAAAGAAGAGGGATATGTCCCTGCTATAGACAATGTGCTACATGATGTGGAAGAGGAACAGAAGGAGCAAAATCTTTCCTATCACAGTGAAAAGCTTGCAGTTGCATTCGGAATTATAGCAACTCCACCTGGAACACAGATAAAGGTTTTTAAGAATCTACGTACATGTGTTGATTGTCATACTGCGATAAAATATATCTCTAAAATAGAAGAGAGAAGAATTATCGTGCGAGATTCCAGTCGGTTTCACTGTTTTGAAGGTGGGAGTTGTTCATGCAAGGACTATTGGTGAGTTTTCCCTCTGTTTTTGGAAAGAAACGGTTGGGTTTGTTTAAAGGTTAAGCCTTACAAGATAAGGTGTAATGTGAATTGAGAAATGCCATGAAAAATGAAACTTAAAAAAAATCATTTCTCTCTCAGTGGTAGTGAAGAGAGAGCTTTTGTGCTTTTATCTATAGAAGCACTTCTTCCAGCTCTTAAAAGAGATGAGAAGATAGTCTCCCTTGCACCATTGTCATCTTCGCTCGGTTTGGACAAATGATTGATTGATAAAATTATTTAACTGAGTTTGCGGATTTTTCTAACACAAGTGTGATTCACTCCGTTTGTTGAGTTTGTTACAGTTTTTGCAATTTTTTAGAACACAATATGATATGGACATAAGGGAATCGGAATAACTGAAAAAAGATATGAAGACTTTCAAATGTTTTAAAAATATGTTGGTAATCTCCCATAAACTATAGTGTTGGTTGGTGAATTTGAACACCTTTTCTGTGAGAGAATTGACTATTTGGACATGGCATAATTACTAAGGTGAGCATTTCCTCCAACAGCCAACTAACAATCCTCCCATTCCGTTTAATTACTCACAACATAATTCTCAGTAAAATTCCACTTCAACTTTGTTCTCATAAAACCAAAAAATCCTTCTGTGCCGGAGAATTCGGTAGAATAATATTTTACTTTTGTTATTTCATCTTTCTAAATCTTTGTACCCTTTTAATTTGATACTTTTTAATTTACTATAAAATAAAAAAAATATTATAGACTTCTTTAAATTTTTTTATCAAATTCTGATTAAATTTTTTTTGTCATTTAGCATTACTTAAATTCATAAAATTTAAATTTTGAATTTATTTCTTTCCGTAAAAAATAAGTGTTTGTTTGTATTATGAAAAGTTTACTCAAAAGGAAAATACTTTAGAGTCAACATCGACGGTGGAATAAACCTACCATATACCTTCTCCACTCACAAGACATTTTATTTATATATAGGCATTTAACACAATCTCAAACGCCAAAGCCCAAAATTTTTACATCACAAATAAATACAACCATTCCTCCTCTTAGTTTCAAGACTCAATAAAAATGGTGGAGAGAGATCAAGTTAGACCACTAGCACCAGCATCCGACCGGCCACATAGTAGCGATGACGACGATACAACGTTAAACATCAAAAAAAGGTTTCATCAAAGAAGATGTTTCAAATATTGTGCTTGTGTATCAACCTTTGTTTTCCTCGTAGCCATAATAATCATTATTTTGATCTTCACAGTGTTCAAAATAAAAGACCCTATTATTACAATGAACGGTGTCACAATTGAAAAACTAGACCTCGTTAACACTAGTGGCACCCTTTTACCTATACCTAAACCAGGTTCCAACATGACCATAAAAGCTGATGTCTCAGTGAAAAATCCTAATTATTCATCATTTAAGTATAGTAACACGACCACCACTATTTCCTATCGCGATGCGGTCATCGGGGAGGCGCGGGGCCCACCGGGGAAATCAAAGGCACGGAAGACTATGAGGATGAACGTAACTATTGATATTATGACGGATAAGATTATGTCACATCCTGGCTTACAAGATGATATTAGTAGTGGTTTGCTTACTATGAATAGCTACACAAGTGTTGGTGGGAGAGTTAAATTGTTGAATATGATCAAGAAATATGTTGTTGTGAAGATGAATTGTAGTATTACTGTGAATATTACTAGCCAGTCAATTCAAGATCAGAAGTGCACCAAAAAGGTTAAGCTTTAGATAATTAGATAGATATTAGTTAGTTTTTTTCATGATATTTAATTTTTGCTACTACATCTTTTGGTTTAGATGTTACTATATATAAGAACTTTTTTATAACAGTCATTTTCGGTTATAATATTTTATTATAACGATAATAAAATGGTTTTTCATGTATGTTGTATTATATGCTCTCCGTAATTATTAACATTACTGTCTAACAATAACTAAATAAATAACGATCGTACATATTTTGATACACCGAAAATGATATTGTGTGATTAAGCAAACCTAATTTGTGTGCTCTTATCCCTCTTCCTAGATTTATAAAATATGAGTATGATAACAAATACTTTTCTTTCTTCTATGATCATGTAAGTGACAAAAGAAGATTAGTAGAGTCAATTTTGTTAGAAGGGGGCAAGAAAAAACTATCCTAATTAATTAGGATGTTGACATCAAATGAATCCATATTTTTCATTGTATTAATTAAGCCCCCCTTCTAATTTCCCTTCAATTTTCAAACTACATTGAATTAAAGGAAGACAATAAGTTTCAACCAACTATATATCACATCGGATCGTTCTCAATAATGCGAAAGTACTTAATAATGGAAAACTTGTTGTTAGGTAGTAAATTAAAAGCATATTAAATACAAAAATAATGTGAAAGATTTGACTTTACATCATTTTACTAAACCTGTTATAACAAGTAATTGCCAGCATAATTTAAAACACTCCACATGACAACATGGGCAAATTTTTAATGACATATTTCATAATGAATGATTAATTTGGATTGAATGAATTAAAGCCAGGTCTTAATCATAATTATAAAAATAGATATTAATAAATATTTAATACGTATATGAGATATAAATATAAAGACTAACATTTAGACATAATAAACAAATATAGCAATTTGGAATGAACGTTATGGTAGGTAATGGAAAAAATCATTTGAAAAAAAAAATTACTTCTAAATTAAATATTTTTCTTCTTTGTTATTATGATTTATGACCTACCATTAATTAGTAAACAAATTTCACGACACATCCTATTTACACGCAACCATTTAAATTGGAGTATTTATTTGTTTAAAATTATTTAATTTATATCCACTTTTAATAAGCTTCGGACAAATTTTGGAGACACCCGTCACCGGCTCACCGCCGCCAACACCATCTAAATAAAATGCCATCATTCTTTTTTAAAAAAATAAATAAAAAATACACTTGTCAACTTTTTTTTCCGTATATATATATATATTCTACACTTGCTCGATTTTATTTTGTATGAGATAATTTGACTGACATATAGTTTAAAAAAGAAATGAAGCCATTTAAAATTTGTGGTCTAAAGTGAATTATAGAAATTTGTATGGTTATAAATCATTTTATTAAGGTAAAATAGATGTTTTGAAGTTAAATTGTTACTCCTCTGTCTCTATTTACTTTTCCACTTTAGAAATAACATATCTATTAGGACGACAATGATTAGCGTATTGAAGTTATCATTTTACTCTTATTAATTATGGTCTTCAAAAAGAATTAATTAAAACTTAAAGATTTTTAAAAAGTTTAAACGAGGGCATATATAATAGAAAAAAGTTAATCTTTCCTGATTTATCAAAATAGACAACTAAATATGGATAACAAAAAGAGGAAATATGGACAAAGGGAGTAATACTTAATATAGAAATGTATTATTTTTCTTTAGACTGACTAATTAAGAAAGTAAGTCATATAAATCGATACAGAGGAATGTTTGAGTTTTTTTCTTTTATAATCTTTTTGAAATTCTTTTTTCAAATCTGAACGTCTATATGGATTCTGCAGGGATGGACTATAGTCAATGCATTAGCTGTTGCTCAAATCTTTTTAGTTATTGCATCACACACATTTTCTTGCAAATGGTATGAACAACTTCAAACATATATTTGCCCAACTCTGGTATATGTGTTTGAAATTAGGCAAATATATGTCCTGATCTCATGTCTAAATATCTAAAATTTGGCCTTTTCAAGGTCATAACTTTAGTAACAAATGTTTGAAGTCAGGCATTATTAAGGCTGCAATTTTAATAAAAATTGTTTGAAGTTAGCTTGGTCAGTCATCATATGTTTGAAGTTCTTTCAAAGTTAGAATTGAGTCGAATATATCTAAAGTTTGCCCTGTAAAATTCACAATTTTAGTAAAAATATTTAAAGTTGGCGTTGACAAACCATAGCATCGCCTTCACATGACCACTTCAGATATAACGTCCAAAATTGAGACGCAATTTTAGCTCATTAGTTAGAGTCCACTAATCTCAAGTCTCAATTCGACGTAAAGAAAGCCCAAAACTATTGAATTATGTAATTTGATTTTTGTTTGTGTTTTAGCAACAAAAGAGGTTTGTTAATTAAAAATGGGAAAATAATATATAATGGCAAGCTATTAATTTAAATCAAATGTCATAATTTCATTTTGATTTAATTGTGCCCTATAACAAACTATTTGATATTTGTCTCTCCCTCTCAAACTCTCGCTCGCCACGTTCTTTCTCTCGTTTTATACAATCAGAAATGTATAAATATATAAATTGTATTTCTGTTTGTATAAAACAAGAGAAAATTATATATATACACATGCAAATACATATATCTTTGTCCTATACACTTATAATTATATAATACAAATATTTCCTTGCTCAGTTCTCTTTTGTCTTTCTTTCTTTCTCGCTTTATACTAACACAAATTATATAAAATACAATATTTGTGTAATTTATATTTGTATAAAGTGAGAGAGAGAACAATATTTAATATACAAACGTTTTATTTCGATTCAATTATATACAAATTCAAATTTTATACAGATATACAAGTACATAAAATTGAATTGAGAGGCTGTCAACGATTTAACGAGAGGCTACCAACGGTCTGCCAGCGAAATTATACAAATATGAAGAGGAGCGAGTGAATTATACAATTACTTCTTTTGTATATATGTATAGCGAAATAATCATAGCATATTTACTATAGAACACGATTATGCAAATTATAGTTCTAAACATACAAATATAAATTTTGTATTTGTTATATATAAAAAACTTTAAATTAAATTATAATACATCTAAAAATAACATTCAAAATGACTCGGTATGTCATATTGGGACCATCTTTAATGAAAACGAACACGTAAAGAGAAATAATAATGATGTTGAGAAAGACAATTAACTACTATTATAGCAACTTGGTAGTGATTGCTTCATGAATTTAGCATTTCCAAATACTCGAGGTTTAAAAGTATTGCGTTATCAATATAAATAATATTTCACTTATAGGCTATGATATTTATGTCGCACCAATAATTCAATATTACTTGGTCCCATCCATTTTACTTTTTCTGGTTATTAAAACTAACGGCTCAAGTATATTTATTTTCATTTTTTTTTTCAATATTTGCTCTTACTCTAATGAATATGAAGAAAGATATTGACCATAAACAAATGTTTTTTTAAGATATTGACCATAAACAAATGTTTTTTTCCTAACATCAATTAGCTAGAAATTTGTGA